CCGTGATATCAGTGGTATCCCATTTTCAAGACATGGAGGAGACCATGTATCTGGGTTTGCCTGGGACAGTTTGAATTGACACTTGTTAAGCTGGTGTGATAAAGTGATGCTTCTCCTTTAAAAGAAATTGCAGACAATAAATTCTGTGCTTCACTATCTTATGGTAGCTCTATTGCAGAATACAGTCCTACCTATTCACATCATGTAAATGAGAGAAATAAAGCTCATAGAAGCTAGGAAGTTTGCCCAAGGTCACAGGTGGTAATAAGTGATTGTTATGGGCTGAATTGTGTCCACTCCCAAATTCATATGTTGAAGCCCTAACCTCTGGTACCTCAGAATGTGACTGTATTCAGAGACAGGGCCTTTAAAGAGGTGATTGAGTTAAAATGAGGTTGTTAGGGTGGACCCTAATCTAATTTGACTGGTGTCCTTATAAGAAGAAGAAATTTGGACACACAAAGAGACACCAGGGCTCATGCACAGAGGAAAAGCCCTGTGAGGACACAGGCAGAAGGCAGCCCTCTGCAGGCCAAGGGGGGAGGCCTCAGCAGAGAACAAACCTACAGACACCTTGATCTTGGAATTCTAGCCTCCAGAGCTGTGAAAAAATAAATTTCTGTTGTTTAAGCCACCCAGTCTGTGTATTGTTATGGCAGCCCAAGCAAACTAATACAGTGGTTAGGTATGGTTTGAACTTGGGTCTGACCCCCAAACCTGCACTCTTTCCCACTGAATGACCCTTTTTTGCTCCATGTCGGGCCTGTAGTACAGGTGATAGTGTCCATTTAGGTCTCTAGTTTGGCATCCAAATTCAGCTTCCAGTCGCTGGTCTCCAATGATGCCTTTCCCCACCAGGCAAGAATGTGTTGTGAGTTTTGCTCCTTTCAGTCTGATTCCACAAAGAGCTCCTTGCATTTCCCAAGGTGCCTGGTGTTTGATGATGGCTAGGAGTTAGGCTCAGTCTCTTGATGGTGGAAGATTCCTGTTTGTTTCCCCAGTCAGGCTCTTGGGGAGAGAGCACGAAGCTGGCCTTCTGAAGTGTTCCCTGGGGGTGTCTGTGGCAGGGGTTGTAGTGTAGGGGCTGTCATCTATCTCCTTGATTTGATGGGCCTCATGGGAAAATCTGGCCCTGAAGGCATGAGTCACTGGATTGTCATCTCTACACCAAAGCCATTACCTAACACCCAAGAACAAACTCTATCTTCTAATAGCTTCAAAGGAAAGAAAGAGAACGCCCCTTGCAATGGCTGAGGCTTATTAGCTCAGGGCTCAGAATCTACCAGGAGAGCCAGATATGTCTGATGCATGCCTGGAATAATAATGAACAAATTCCTCCTCTATGTTCTTTATGGAACCTTAATTGCTTGTTAAAATTGGGCCTTTGGCTTTGATGGGCTCGAAATTATTTGAGCCTGGCTTCGCGGTCTTACAAGCAAGACTTGTAAGGTAAAGACAAGATTCATTTCTCCAAGACCTGTAATCAGGCTCCTGCCTCTTATTTAAACAGTTAGCTTTGGGAATAGACATGTACACAGAGTCACTTTAAACTCATTTCTGTCTTCCTCAGGGTGCCCGCCAGGCATAGTGCTAGCCACTGAGTCGGAACTCAGTAAACACATGTGGACTGATTTGGCTAACTTTACACAGTTCCCTGCTGTGGCAGAGTGACTGCGTTCTGTTTTTAGTCATGATACGTGTGCTAATTTCTATCAACCATGTCCACAACCTTTAAAAAAAATACAGATGCTAAGAAAGGATTTTAGTATTTGTTAATGTAGTACTGTTTATTTGCTATAGGTATTTTTCCTTTTGATAGACATTATCCAAATTTCAAGATTACTCTGTCTAAGGTGAGATTATATTCTCCAGTAGAGCCGCTGTAAAACAGTGGAACATTGGTTTCTCAAGTGTAGGGTGCTGGGATTGAATCCAGGCTTTCAACACTTTCTGTGTGGTCTCAGACATGTTTCTCAATCTCTCTGGTCATCAATTTCTACATCTCTATGTGGGCAATAATGATAGTGTCTACCTCTTAGGGTTATTATAGGAGTAATTAAAATGTATGCATGTAGCAGTTAAGTCCAGTGCCTGTAACATAGTAAGAACCTAACAAATGTCAGTTATGACTAGTATTCAACTGTTCTAAGCTTTGGTCAAGTATATGCCCAGGGGATAAAGTTAAGAATAAACCAGAGGGATAAAAATAGTCTGTATTTCAGGGCAAGAGGATTCTAAGTGATCAGTTCCTTTAATGTGGTTGTAATGGCATCTAAATAATAAATTCAGAAGGACTGGTGTGTTTGGCAAAGAGGGCTGGAGGCTAACTCGGTAGTGCAAGATCCTCATGGTCAAGTATTTTCTTGCTGGATGGAACGGTACAGCTAGCACAGATCCTGGCACATAGTAGGCCCTCAATATGTGATAACTCTTAGTTGTAGCTATTTCAGCTTCCTGGAATGTATGGCAGACTTAGGAAAAGAGAGCACGCATTGTTTAGGTCCCAAGGCTGTGACTGTTTGCAACAATAGTTTTTGGTTCTCTCAAGGTCAGTGTTTGAAAAGTGTATCAGTTAGTTCTTGCCAAAATAATGCTGTATGGCAAATGACCCCCAAACTCAACAGCTCAAAACAACAAGCGTATGTTTTCTCTGTGCTGAAGCTTGACTCTCAGCTGATCTAAACTCTAAGCTGCAGGTTGGGTGTAGGTCTGCTCCACGTGTCTTTCATCCTCCTTGACCAGCAGGCTACCTGGAGCATGTTCTTCTTGGGGTCATGGCAAAAACACTAGAGAGCATGTTCCATCACCCAAGCATATTTCAAACTCCTGCGTATGTCACATCTGCTAACCTCCCACTGTACAAAACCAGTCAAATAGCCAAGTTCAAGCTTAAGGGTTGTGGAAACACACTGCAAAAGAACTGCAAAGTCACATGACCAGAGGGCGTGGATATAGGGAGCTTTGAAGAATGAGGGTTACTAATTCCCTCTACCTAGTTCCCCATTTGACTTCTGCATCTTAGTCATTGCAATAGATGATATGAAAGGGCTTTCCTTGTGTTTGGAGGTTCCGTGGTTCCTGCATTGAGATTCTAAAGTGCTCCACTGTAGCGTGTGAGCATGTTGCCAATTCCTCTTGGTCTCCAGGAGCCTTTCCTCTGACGGACAGGAATTTACTCTACTCTGTAAGCCAAAGAGTCCCAGTTTAGACAGACACGATGGATTAGGCAGACAGCGTCATTGACCCGGTTCCACTTCGTTAGCCTTTCCAATTAGGGAGGATGTTGCTGAAAGTGAGACCTCACAGATATGTAATCATACCTTGAATCCTTTGGATTGAGCCTGTTTAGGGAGAGTCTTGCATTTCCAGTGTGCACAGGGAGAGGAGAGCAAAATTTGGTTGGCAAGTGAATCCTAAGTGTTAATGATGTGGCCACTAGTGAGTACTTTATCTTCTTCCTGGCTAGTTAATTAAGTTGCTAAATAGATAGCAATTGTACTTTCATCTTCCAGAAGCCTTTTAATAACTCTTGGACCCCTGACTGAGCACTGATAGGGTCTCTGAGCTTGGAACACCAAATGAAGAGTTGGTGCCTCACTGTGCGGTGGATCAGTGATCAGACCTTCCCGAGGAAGGTCTTTTTTCCAGTGAAGTTGTTCTTAAGGGTTCAGGGCAGCCTTCTCCCCTCTTCACCCTCTTGGGATTCTGACCAATGAAGCATAAACCCCACACAATAATCAAATGGACTGCGAAGTACAGCTTAATTAATCTGGGCATGCACCCAACACCCCATTGCAGTGCTTTGTGAGGACATGGCTTAGAGAATGAAGCTAATTTTGAGGCTGAGATGCAGCCTCTTACCTTCTAATCAAAATCAAGACATTGGGTTCTGAATGGACAGAGAGACAGACAGACAGATGAAGGCTGACTCTGACCTTAAGAGCAGATGTCACATGCTCTCACTCACTGAGCAGCACGGAAAAGGTCTGACTCACACTGCCAGCCACAAACCAAAGACAAAAATGGGCCCTGCCCAGCGTGTTTGCTTAACATAGAGACGCAGGAAGTACAGGGTTGTCACTTACTGCATGCGAGTGATGAAGGAGCTGGCCAGAGGACAGGGACCCAGCTCACTCGATAGAAGCAGCTCAGTGAATGTTGGGCTCTCACCGATCATACCTGCTGCTTCTTTCCCCTTGGGAAGGAGCTGCTAAGGGTTGGAAGAGAGTGGCTTGAAATATTTCTTTCCAGACATCTGCAACTTCCTTTATGGGCCAAGGCTGCAGAGTACAAAGAGAGGGAGAAAGCGTTCACCTCTGTATTTTCCTAGGTAAGAGGAATATTCCGTGCCTGGGAGAATGTGGACATTAGACTGAGATGTTCTCTTGGCAGCTTCCTTTGACTCCACGAATGGAGAGGTGCTGGGAATGGGGCTCAAAATGAGAATTCAGGGGAAGATGAAGTTCTCATCTTGAAAGAAAGGTCAGAACTGGCCACAGCTCAAAATGTTCAAGAGCTCCTGCCTCTTAGGCTCATCAGAATTAGGCATCATTATAGACATGTCATAGAACAGGGATCAAAAAATCAATGGAGAGGTGCTGGGAAATGGGGCTCAAAATGAGAATTCAGGGGAAGATGAAGTTCTCATCTTGAAAGAAAGGTCAGAACTGGCCACAGCTCAAAATGTTCAAGAGCTCCTACCTCTTAGGCTCATCAGAATTAGGCATCATTATAGACATGTCATAGAACAGGGATCAAAAAATGAGTGTCAACACACCTAGAGTAGGGGTTTAGAGTGCTCCATTTTCCCTATTCTTCCATCTTGCTAATGATATGGCCAGTGGCCTGGTGCTAGTTTGTATGACTTCCTAGAAGCCTGTGTTGGAAAATCTGCTAAGATAAAGCAAATCTTCAAACGGGGTTTGTACTTCCCAGGCCGTAAAATCATGCCCATTCTTTGTAAGAGGCAGCTTAAGGTTATTTTTGCAGATGAATCCGAGATGGTTATGTTCAGGACAGACAGGGTGTGGACAAAAATAGCCTTGATGTGCTGGGTTTCTGTTTTCCTTGGAAACCACTCACTGAACACCATCCCCTTCTGTCTGTCCTGTCCTCTGTACCCACCCTGTCCCTCCCCCAACCCTAAGAGTTCACGCTTCATGACCTGAGACATTACACCAAGCATCTCCAGTCAATTGGCTTTTGTAGAGAGTGAATGAATAGAACGTTTCTCTGGCCTTCTCTGGCCCGAAAATGATCTTCCGCAGCCCATTGGAATGTGCTACTCACACCAGGAATTAAGCTCCTCTCTCTCATTCCTTCTCTCATTCTCCCCAGATCAGATCCAAATTGATGGGCTTGCCCCTAATCAGGGTCTTTATATTCTTTCAGGTTTATTTCTAATCCTCTTATGGATACAACTTCTTCATAGAGAGGATTTGAACACACTGGAGATATTGGGCCAGGGGGCTTGGTTTCTTCTTTTCATATACTTCATGTTGCATGATCGCCCTGTGGGTGTCCTCTTCACAAAAAAACATGAGTCTTCCTCATCACTTGGGTGGGGAAGGAAGTGTTGGGGCACCAAGCTGTTCTGATGTCTTTGTAGAGTTGGGGAGACAGAGCTGGGCTGCACTCTCTATTTGAAAACTCATTTGCTGTAAGCTAACCTTCCCCACTGCTCATGTGTGTTTTCTCCTTTCTTTCACAGGATCCACACCCAAGTCCGCTGATCACCCTGGAAACCCAGGTGAGGACTTCCCTATCTTTGTCACTTATCTCTGCCCTGATGTTCCTGCACCAGCTCTCTAGGGTCTTCGCATCCTTATGTCCCCATGCATCCTTTCAGCCCTGTGGCTCAGAAATGCTAGATAATCACATAAGACTGTTTTCCTGTGCCATTTGGATATGCACATGCAAGCACACGTGTGTACACACACTGATGGTGCGCACGTGTGTGTAATTGTGTGGGTGTGTGTGTGTGCACATACGCACCCAGGTGTCTGAATGCACCTCTTCCCTGTGGCCAGAACCATAACCGTTTCTTCTGACTCTTCCTCTGTCCTTTGCTCTTGCTCAGCAATCATGAGGAGGTAAATGCAAAGGGAGAGAAGAGACAAAGGGGACTGGAAAGTGGGAAAACTTTGCTCTTCTGTGTCTGTGGATTTGGGGACTTTTTCTCCTTGGCAGTTAAGGCAGCAGGACCTAGCTGCCAGGGAAGGAAGTTGCGTCTTCCGTCTGCTTACACGTTAGGCACTTCTGAAAAATCCGGATCTCATTGGCATTTCCATGTGGGGCAGATGACCAGTGGGCCTTGTAGAGGAGGGCATGGCCCTTACTGTCTACTTTCTGCTTTCCTGGAAGATAAGACAGTGCAGTAACTGTGAGTATGGGCTTTGGAGCCCAACAGAATCAAGTGGAATCCCAGCTCTGCGTCTTTAGCCCTGTGATGTTGCTGGGGCCACTTAACCTCTGAACCGCCAATTTCCCATCTGGAATATTACCACAGTGATGGTGCCCACCTTGCAGGGTTGGGGTTGAGAATTACAGGAAGTGATGTCTATAAAGTCAGCAGTCCGTGCTAAGTGCTTGTGAGTGTTAGCATTTTAAACCAATAGAACTTTTACCTTTCCTACTGGATCTGAAGTGGCTGTGTCTTTGGATTGATCGTGTTCTTAGTGCTGTGGGTCGGTCAGACAGTAACGAGAGAAGAAAGGCAGGAAGGATCCCATTCAGGAACCCAGAGAAGACAGTGTTCAGGAGTCAGACACAGTCAAAGCTATTTGAACATTTCAGGGAAGGATAACAGCTCCGTGGGGATTTCTGGAGCACACTGGCAAAGACCACCTGCCTCCCTTGCTCTTTGACTTCCTCCTTGGTCCTTGCTGTCTCTCTGGCCTCTCTGCCTGGGTCTTCCTGAGGGGAATGAGGAGAGGGACAAACCCACCCTGCTTCAGGGTGGCCAGAATATTAGGAAAGCCAGAAGTGGTGAGAAAAGCAGATCCTCAGGGTTTCTTTGTGCTTGTCCGGCCTCTCCTTCCCCGGCACACACATGTGGTTGCATAGGCTCCGGGGATGACCAGGCAACAGTGCTGGCAGGAAGGACACAGGAGCAGGTGTGACTTTGACAGGGAGAAGGATCCGGTTTCCTTTGCCTGTTTGGCCCTCCTCTGGCCTAGTGTTTCCCCTCCTGTCATTCACAAACCCCCTTAGCCATGTTTGCCACGTGTGAATTTCATCTATTCTAGTGAGTCACCTAAAAATACATTTTCCCTCTACTTACTTTACTTGCAGTAGTAGACTGTCCTAGTCTAGCCTAATGGTTCTCAGCCAGGAAGTGATTTTGACCCCTAGGGATATTTGTCTCACCTGTTTGGGGGGGTGCGGAGTACTACTGGCATTTGGCGGGTAGAGACCAGCAATGTGGTTAAATATTCCGCAATGCATGAGCCAGCCCCCCATCCCCCCAAGAAAGAATTATCCAGCCCAAAATGCCATTGGTGTTGCGAGTCAAGGTTGAGAAACACCGTCTCAAGCAATAACATTGGTGAAAAAACAAATTTGAAGTGCTAGTTGTATTTTTATTTGTACAACATTAAAATAAATATTAAACTATGAAAATTAAATTAAAATGTTCCCTTGAGTGCCCTCTAAAATCATCTAAATGCACTCTTGGAAAAGATGTCTCTCCTCTTTCTACCCAATGAGAGAACTTCAAAGCTGTGTTTTTAAAATGATGGCCCATCTCTTTTTTATCAGTTCTTCCCCAGAAGGAAAACCAATTAGACTCAGGTAACTCAGGGGCAAAGAGTCTGTGTTTGGAACTCTGGGAACCAAATCGTATCTCCTGGGGGCAGAGCAGCTGCACTCTGGGATGGTTCTGTCCTGGACCCTCTTGTATCCTTTCCTGGATGCGACCCTGTCAGCCCTTCCAAACCTTCATGGGACAGAGCAGTCACGTGCCAATGGCTTTGGCCAGCACATTATGAGGGTGACAGCTCTTCCCACACAATGACCACTCTTTAAGTCACATCTGTTAGCCCACGGGACCTGAGCCTCGATCTGCAGGCAGCAGTGGCACAATACGACTTTTTGCATTTGTGCCATGCCATCGGGGACATGACTCAATTTGTTTCCCACACAATGACCACTCTTTAAGTCACATCTGTTAGCCCACGGGACCTGAGCCTCGATCTGCAGGCTGCAGTGGCACAATACGACTTTTTGCATTTGTGCCATGCCATCGGGGACATGACTCAATTTGTCTCCAAACAACACTCCATCAGTCTCATCTGGTTCTCGGTCTTTGGGGAGCCATAGGATATTGTTGTCTTTTCCCGAGTTAGACATTGGAACCCAACCAAAGTGCAAATGCTCTTTTGTAAGTGTTGGCACCAGGTCTGACTTTGTGCTGGGCCTTGGCCTGTTGTGGGGTGGATGATGGGATCCTGTTCAGCTGCCTGCAGGCAGGTCAGGCAAGACAGACAGGGGAAGATTTTCTGGCAGGAAATGGTGCCCCAAATGTTACCCATTTGCTGTGAGCAAGATGGTGGATGTGACCAAGCTTAGAAGAACCCACTCTGCAGAGGTGACGCAGCAGATGCACCCTGAGCCCTGGGTCAGTTCCTACTTCCTCCCCCAGTGCTCTTTGCTTATAAGGATGGCATTGCCCACTCCATCCTAGAGCCCAGGTGCCACAGGTGGGCCTGCCTGTTAGATTTCACCGCCAGCCACGTCCTTGCACACATGTCAGCAGCTTTGCTTGCCCCGGGGCGCCCAGGGGCCCTTTCCTCCATGCACCCCCTCTCTCCTTAGTATTAACTGCATCTGTCTTCACCCATTGCTTGGTTAATCTGTCCCCGTGCAGCTGTTCTAAGTTGGGGGAGATGGATTAATTGGCTGCCAAGGTCTCCTCTAATGCTCTTTGCCATCAACACAGTGGAGCTTTGCATCTGTTGGCATCAGCAGGACTCTCTCTGCTTAACGGCCAGATTAATAGAATGAGGAAGCTGAGGCAGGTTTAAATTCCTGGTGTGAGCTCACCCCTCAGCAGGCTGCCCCTGGGGGTGTGCCAAGGAAGCCCTGACTTGCAGTGGTGAATCCTTCTCTGGTCTCTAGGCGGCAGTTATCTGGCAACAGGCGACCTAGAAATGAAAAAAAAAAAGAATGTGTGAAAGGAGTTTGAATCTGTTTAGCAGCTTGGTCCTGGTGTGAGCTCACCCCTCAGCAGGCTGCCCCTGGGGGTGTGCCAAGGAAGCCCTGACTTGCAGTGGTGAATGCTTCTCTGGTCTCTAGGCGGCAGTTATCTGGCAACAGGTGACCTAGAAATGAAAAAAAAAAAGAATGTGTGAAAGGAGTTTGAATCTGTTTAGCAGCTTGGTGACATCATTATCCCTACCCTCACTAACATTTGCCCTTTTCCAAGAACTCACTTCTCCCATTGAATTCTTAAATGCCATAGTTACACAGATGTTCTTATGATGCTCAGTTTCTAGATGAGGAACCTAAGGGTCAGAGAGGTTAAGTAACTTGCCCAAGGTCACATGGGAAGCGTATAGCATCGGTGAGTGTCAGACTCAGGGTTGTATGACATCAGAATCTATTTTAACTTCTGTTCTCTTTTGCCAGAAAATAAAGTTGCCTTGACTAGTAGAAAGATTTGCTAATGCTCAGGCAAAGCTGGAGGGATGGATTTGATATATGCAGCCCAAGGTCCATACATAGATAGACAGACAGAGAGTGCTTTGCACAAGTACCTATAAATGTTCTTAGATATATAGGTAGAGAGATGGGTGACGGGTAGGTAGGCAGATAGAAAGAATACTTTACACAGTGAGTAATTTTTTGAAAGATATAGGATTGTGGGTACAATGGTTTAAGCAATGGACTCAATATAAAATTTATTTTAAAACAACCAAAAACAAAACATCTCCCAGCACATCAACAGTGTTTTGATAAATGTGAGTGCTTATTACTTGATTCTCTCATTGATCCCCCAGACGGTTTATCATTTCTGAATCCACTCCAATTGGCAAGGCCTCTTGTCATTTAATTTTAGCTTCTCTGCCTCCGACTCCCCACCCCAGCAGCCTCTCTGTCAATTAGCTAATGGGCCCTACTCAAACACTGAGATACCTTGGGAGTTGTAATAAAGGAGCTCTTTTGTAGAGTAAAGATTTGTCAGTCTGGGTATTTGCGAAGTTGGCTCAGTTTAGAAGGGAGCAGACCTTCGTTTATGTGGAGATCCCTCTCAGGACCTGAAGATCTAGGGCATCAGACTTCTAACTTCTCAGTTTTCAAAACCAGCTGGGTGCTTGAATTTCTTTGATCAACTAACTGGGGGTATAGGAGAGGGAGTGACATTCACATTATTTAAAGATGATACTGAGGCCATGAAGATTGTGAACAGAGTTCATGTTGAAAATGAATAGTGGATATGAAGGGAAACGAATACTTTAAAAATTATATCTACGTAAATCCATTTATTTATTTACTTATTCCATAAACAGATCTCAGGCCATGTGGAAGCCAGGCCTTGTGCTAAATGCTCAGGATAAGCAGTGGCCAGGATAGAAGACCCCTTGCCCACAAAGCATACATTCTGGTTGGGGAAGTCAGATGGAAAATATGCAAACAAATAAATGCACCCATAATTTCAGGTAGTAATAAGTGAATAGAAATAAGACAAGTTGTAAGAGAGGGTGACTAGGCTGAGTGAAGGAGATTGTTCAGCAAAGTCTCTCTCAGGAG